TTCACACATATCGGATAGGTTTTATGCCATACTTTGGTGCATTCGCCCTGTCACGGAAGTAAACAGTGGCTAGTTTGGGCCTGGAACCCACTAAGACGGAAGTAAATATTCAGGAGTGAGGACTGGGATTTAGGGCACCAAAGCCTCTCCGCCAACCGCGCCGCCGGCACGATGTTTGATGTGTGTGAACGACTTGTGCCGCCCCAGGCCGTTGCTGTTCACACTATACCCATAGCTTTTCGTGGCGCCATGCAAAGCTATCCGTTATTGTGTTAACACAACCTATGTCTCTGCAAATCGCATGTGAAGTATTCAGTAGGCCCGGGACACCCTATTCCCGTCCACAGGGCAACTCGGCTTTATTTGAAGCGAGGTGTCCTCGGGGCTGGGAATGGAGGTACCGTAATTTTAACGGTTTTTATTAAATATTTTTTATGCACTTTCTTACAGCGTCGTCAATCAGCTTCAGATGGTGTGCGAAGTCCACGGAGATGGCCAAATGTCAAGAATTCATCAAGTACGTGAACAAAACTGCTACAAAAAAAGGTATACCAGTGACTGACTTGAGTTGTGTTAATGGAAGCACATCCGACATTTGTATGAAGTTCATCAAAGGCGATAAGGCTGACCTCGTGACACTGGACGGTGGACGTGTTTATGAAGCAGGTACAAGCTTTGTTTGTCAAGTGTTGGCGAAATTTTCTAGGGTTGGACCCAGTTGTGAAAAGGAAAAAGAAAAATGTTGTGTTGTGTTCATGTGCTCCGAAGTGGACACATGAAATTAGGAAGTTTCATGTCGGAGTCGTGCAACGACAGCTTAGAAATGTACGAAAAACGTGATACGTGCACAGTTTTTTTGCTTATAGAAACTTATTTCCTTTTTGTCATTCTCCTTGCCGTCGCCGTAGTCGTTGCTTAAGCTGCCCATTGCTGTGGTCCAGACTGTGCGATGCAGTGGTTTAATATTTTAGTAGCCATAGCCGAGCAGTTCAAACAATTCACTACAAGAGAATATAGGACCTGTATGTCTTCAAATATGACGCATATATGACGCATGATTACATGAAAACGCCAGAAAAAAAAAACCCAAATGGTATTACAGTCAACTCCCTTCACAGTGGACATGGTAAGGGTCCTTGGGTTAGTGTCCTCATTAGTGAGAGTCTTTAACAGCGGGAGTATATTTCAGTCGAACTTCTGTAATTCATTTTTGCCTGGGATTTACCTGCTGTCCGTATTTTCGGGCTCTGTTATAGTGCGATTTCCCCATGGCGAGAGTTGACTGTGGCTTATATTTCTTTATTCCCATTCGATCCAGGCAAGAATGATGGTCTTGTACCCATTGTCTCTGAGAAATATGGAAAATACGGAGTGAAGTACTACGGAGTTGCCATCGTGAAAAAGAGCAATACAGGCTTCAACCTTGAAGGTCTGAAGGGAAAAAAGTCATGTCATACCGGAGCTCGAAGAACAGCAGGCTGGAATGTTCCTATTGGGTACCTGCTACGCAAAAAAATTATTCCGCCAGTGAAATGTGATACAGAATTCCACGACTTTTATTCAGCTTCTAAATTTTTCCTCGAGAGCTGTGTACCAGGTGATCTTTGTGAGCTTTCTTTGCTCGTTTGTTCGTTCATCATTGTTCATTCATTCCTCATTCATTCATTCATTCATTAACTTTAATTTATTCATTTGTTTATCGTCCCATTACCTCTGAAAATAAAACAAAATACACTTGATATAAGCCCTTCTAGCTTTTATTAAAATGAAGTCGATTTTTTAATATGTAAAAGCCTATATTTTATTAATTAAAGGGGCTGTGTCACGGCAGTCCAGTACATTTTGTTTAATTTTGCCAATTACTCGCCCTCAATCGCTATGGAACTTAAAGCAAGCAAGGAAATTACAGGTAAATGACAAAATCAGAGACCAGAGACAAACAAATATGTCTCCTGAGCATTATTTTTGAAATTGCAAGCAGCAGGAATCAACTTTGAAATACTGTTAGGCTGAATAGTTTTCAAAAACCCTAATTTCAATCTGTTTCAATCTTCTTCAGTTTTGCCCATCCGTGGCATCTGTTGTTTCTGTTATGTTATTTTAACCTTCCTTTAAAGTTTTAAGCGGTTATTTTAATTTATCTTTCTCTTAATTCAACGGGCATTTTGTAATTTTCTAATTTGGATGAATTGTGTGACATGCCCTGCGAGCAGAGGCTACATTTTCGCAATATGAGATGGCGAGCGAAAAGTAGCCTCTGCCGACAACCGTTCAATTTTCTATCGTGCATGCACAAAATTCGTCACGCGATTCGCAAGCAACTGGTTCGTCAAATCTGCGTGAGTTTCGCGGGAATCAAACTTGCGAAAACTCCTTGCGAACATCTCTCCCCGAGCTTTTGTTTTGTTTTTCTGCTTTGCCCGTCTGGTCCTAAGTATTTTAGCCGCTATATGCCCTGGGATCGTCTTTTGAGAAAGCATTATGCTACCAACTGTAGCAAGTCCTGTCTGATTTGAGGGGAGCACATTTAACTCCAAACGGCAGTTTTTTCCCGGCTTATTGGTATAGGTAATACACTCATGTTAAAGAAGTTTTTAAGCCAGAGCAAGAGATCATATTATGATCTCTTGGCTAGAGTTGAACCATCTTGACGCCTTTGTAAACATTGCTACAGACGCATTGATGCTATATATAAAAAGCTGGGAAAATGTTCTGAAACGCTTTATGGAGCGCTGGTTTAACCTATAAACGACTATTCCACCGGCGCGTTTTTAGGAAGTTTTCATTTCAAAAAGCGGTAGTTTCATGACCATTTAAGCAGTTAACTGAAGGTGCAAATGAGCTTTCGAAAATTTTCTTATTTTTAATCTATAACAAGCTTTACCAGTAAACCATAGTTTTGCTCAAAGTGAAAAATGAAATTCGCCGACAACCCTACGCAAAAGTGATGCGTGAAATAAATTGGATGCTGTAGTCTCACGATTGGGTTTTAAACTAATGCTATGAAAGAACATAGACAAAACAATAGTCAGAGAAATTATTTACCGAAAAATTTTATTCGAAAAGCCATAATTTTATCCTCAAAAGCAATTCGCGTAACACTAACTGGGTCGTGGATCCTTTCACGCAAGTAAAAGCGGCCGAAGACATCAACTGTCAACGCCAAAATCCGTCTCAAATCGTATAAAACATCTATGACACAACTACCTAAACACTTAAATTTCCATTTAAAAACGGAATTTACTTGACCATTAATGTGCAAATTGTACCTGGAAATCTTTAAAAACGTTGCCGCTTTGGCTTCTTTTCAGAACAGGGCTAGCGTTCCACAGTGAAGATTAACCAACCAGTTTGAAGTCCTTGAGGGCGAATCGTTGTTCAGCTAAAGCTTCTTTTCTTCTTTTTCCGCTGGAGGAAAACTTATCGATGATTCTTTTGAACTTTCCGGTTCCCATCTGTGTCTTAAAACAGAGCATTTAGCGTTGCATTGAAAGGCAACACAACAAAATCACCGCAGTATCCATTTTTTTTTCCTGGCAAACAAGAACTCACATCTGATAAATTAACGATCTTTACCCTGTCCCGTAAGAAGCACCAGTAGCAAACTCGTTTTGATATTCCAACAGCTTTAAAATACAGAGTTTTCTTAAGTTGACGACGCTCTTCGGCGCTCTTCTGAATACATAAACATGGATTTTTGAAATTGTTTTGAACTTTTTCCGTTGCTACGCTTGAGCCGCGTTCGCATGCGAGAATTTGGCGGGAAGGGATGCATGAAGGCGCAATAATGGTCAGCGTTCATTCGCTGACGCAAGACTCACGCAATGCTCTAAACCGGTCAAGAACAAGAAAAAAACCCGGTTTTTTTTTATTTATTCGTCCAGATTTCTGGACGGATTTGAACGGTTGTCGACAGAGGCTACTTTTCGCACGCCATTTCATACCGCGAAAATGTAGCCTCTGCTCGCAGGGTATGCGTGACACAGCTCCTTTAACCAAATAGACCTAGTCGGCTTACTCAATGTTGTACCCAATTCAAATCTCCCGGGGTCAAGATTCTTTGTATACTGTATTTGCATTATAATGTTGCATTCACATTTAAATGATATGGAAATTCCTGAAACAAAACGTTTTATCCCCAAAGAGTTTGAATTGGCTACAACATTTAGTTAGCCGAATAGGTCTATTAAAAGTAAATGCAAAACGTATTTTAATCTGCACTGTTTTAGCTTGTTTTGCCTTTTCTATTCCGGTAACAAGCCCCCTCGGATATGAGTCCCTTCATTTATAAGCCCTCCTAAAAACCCCTTATGAAGATATATATTAAGCTTAGGGCTTACAAGCGGCAATTTAAGGTATTTCATACTTGACTATTAAGTAAACGTGTTTTTACTATTAGGAAGATTTAAAAAATACCAAACGAAACAATCATGATGTTATCATTATCATTAATAACACTATTATTATTATTATTATTATTATTATTACTGTTAATATCATTATTATGATTATGATTATAATAATTATTATTATTCTTAGACATGATGAATGACATTGGCATTGACTAAAAGCAGCTACTTTACATAATCAAGAAAAAGATAAATATAGCCATTAGAGCATCATTTTACATATTATATTGTAGAAACAGGAATTGGAATAGCCCAGACTTAATGCAATTTTGATTTCTTTTCTTCTCTTTTCTTTCCTTTCTTTTTTTGGAATGATCTAATCTCAAGCTGCATTTGTAAATTGCCTACACGTAGGGAGATTTACCATTGTACATTCAAAAATACAAAAAAAGTTTCCATCATTAATGGCCCTAGAAACTACCGTATAAAATAACCTCTTAATTTCTTTGAACTTCGATTCTTAGGTGTGAAATCATATGATGTACCCGCTGAAGTTTCCGACAAACTTTGCGCCATTTGCAACGGTACCGGGTCTGACAAATGTTCCAGGGACGTGAGCAAAAATGGGTAGTTGGTTAACATGGCTCATTTATGTGCATGGCAGAAGGCAAGGGCGATGTATCGTTTGCTAAACACACAACTGTCGAAGAAGTGCTCTCGAAATACCCGGGAAAATATGGAACAACGTCAGATTACGAATACCTCTGTAAAGATGGAACAAGAAAAGGTAGATAACTACTGATATTTGCTTAACAGGTAGCTAGAGAAATGTTGGCCCAGTTGTTCGCACACCAGTTAGCGCTAACTCGGGGTTAAATTTTAACCCGGGTTTGTTTTCTTTTTGTCATAAGCACCCTCTAGGATAATTTTCTCTATTCATATTAGAGTTCGATAGAGTATCCAATCATCAAATTGTAGGCAAAGAGAATTAAACTAAATTTGCTTTTTAAGCTCTCATATCTGAGTTCAAATTTCGCACCAATAGCCCTGGGTTATCTTTTAACCCAGCTTCGAACAACCTGGTCAAGAGGTTTAAGGAAAGCTAACACTTACAGTAGCGAAAAGTTATTATAAAATTAAAAAGGACTTTTGACAAGGACCTACATTTCATTCTTCTAAAAGATTTGCAACATAGTCAGATGAATTGGTAATAAACACTTATGGGTTATGGGCTCCTGACATGTAAGTAGGTACCACAACGTTAACCTAAAGTCTTGCTGTCAGGCGAAAACCGAATTCAATAACTGTTAATAACCAATTCAGGTGACAATACGTAAACCGTACTCGATGTTTTAGAACATGCGAAGCTATTTTTTACCCAGTTTATTCAACGTTTTGTGACAAACGGCTGCTGTACATTTAGCTTAGAAACATAACGCCATATGCAGCGGCTCTCTTTATTGCAAAATACTTCTCCTTTTCTGGTCGGCTTTATTAAATAGTGGGGATAATTCTTCATAACCAGCCAGAATGCTTGAATTGTGCCATACTCCTCAAGCTCATTAACAGTCAAAGAAAATACAAAGGAACTTAATGTATAATGAGTGTTTGGAAATCAGATGAAAAACTGCTCATTTTTGCATCCTTGAATTCTCTTTCTAATATCATTTTGTTTGAAAAGTAATAACAAGCAAAATAAGGTCTATTGTTTTCCCCACGTAAGGAAATCGGGATTCCAGAATCCGGGAAATGTTTGCTTGTGAAATCCGGAATACCCCTAACGATTGGATCCAGAATCCACGTTCCACTGACAAGACATAAATCCAGCACCTAGAGTCCGGAATCCACGGCGTGAAATTTAGACTCCGAGACTGTCTTGGGTTCAATAACATGGGTGGAAACAGGGCGGCCCATGAAAGAAATTGTTAGTTGTAACAGCCCATAATTTACTAACTAAAGTCTAACTATACCTTTGTCTTATCAGACATTGGAAAACATGAAGAGTGCTTTCTCGGGTTTAACGCTGCACATGCTGTGGTAACAAGAGAAGGCAACAAGGACATCGATAACATTGTCACCATTTTGACAACCATGAGCAGCATGTATGGCCCCAGCCAGACTAACTGGACAAAATTTCAACTATTTAACTCCACAAAATACGGCGGCGCCAATTTGCTGTTCAAAGATTCCACCACCGAGTTGGTAAGCATCTCAAAAGACAATAGGACCTACCAAGGGTTTCTGGGTGACGATTACGTCAAAGACGTTCAGGCACTGAAGTCATGTGACGATGCGAGCTCAGTCTCCACCAAGACCACACCCTACGCAGTGATTGTGCTGCTTGTAGCTATGGTTGCCGTGATGTCACTGTAAAGTGAAACACATAACCGTGTTTTAGCTAAAGCCATGNGAAATTGTTAGTTGTAACAGCCCATAATTTACTAACTAAAGTCTAACTATACCTTTGTCTTATCAGACATTGGAAAACATGAAGAGTGCTTTCTCGGGTTTAACGCTGCACATGCTGTGGTAACAAGAGAAGGCAACAAGGACATCGATAACATTGTCACCATTTTGACAACCATGAGCAGCATGTATGGCCCCAGCCAGACTAACTGGACAACATTTCAACTATTTAACTCCACAAAATACGGCGGCGCCAATTTGCTGTTCAAAGATTCCACCACCGAGTTGGTAAGCATCTCAAAAGACAGAAGGACCTACCAAGGGTTTCTAAGTGACGATTACGTCAAAGACGTTCAGGCACTGAAGTCATGTGACGATGCGAGCTCCACCAAACAACCAACATCAGTCTCCACCAAGACCACGCCCTACGCAGTGATTGTGCTGCTTGTAGCTATGGTTGCCGTGATGTCACTGTAAAGTCAAACACATAAACCTGTTTTAGCTTAAGCCATGATCAAAATAAAACGTTGTGATACCTGAAGACGGTTCAACATTCGATTTAAGGTATTTTTTTTTTAAATTTGATTTTGGTTAACTGATAAAAGAATCCATTCAAACAGGGAATGGAGGATAGTTTTAACCTGAACTTAGACTGCAAAACAGTCCGTATTTTTGCCTAATCAAGTACGCGCAAGCAGTCAAACAAAAGGTCTGGAACAAGGCTAAAAACAGAGAGCGAGAGAGGGGAGAGACGCTAATGTTGAGAAAAAAAAAATTACTGTTGCAGTCTAACCTGAACTCATTTCCTTTTTGAATTATTAACGAATTTTAATTTAAACATTTGGCCATCAACACCTCAAGATCCTCATTCTTTGGGATCGTTTCTTTTCCGCCAATCAGGTGCATGGCTGTATTCAAAGACTAAAATTATTCACTACCAATAGCTAGCGCTTCTGCGTCTTATCTGCATGTAAACTCCTGTTTCTCGTTTGTTCCTGGCTTAAATTAAAGACAACATACATGTTACCTCAATAGCACTGAACCGACTATAAGTCAAGTAGGTATAGAGGGGGTGTTACATGTGCTACAGCTTTTATTCTCAGCAGTGATATGAGCTCCGGCGGCACTTCAATATTCGTTTCAAGTTTTTTTATTGTTTCAGACTAGTCAAAAGTGGTTCATTCAGTTGTTTGCTTGACCGTGCAGGTGATAAGTAGCAAAAAGGCATAATTTTTTGGCAACGATTATTCAGGCTGCGAAGCTTATTGATCTTCATGGATTGCTTTATGTAGCTTAAACCAATCTGAACGGACAGTATAGTCAGGGGTAATTAGAGCTTTTTATTAAAGCAAATAGTGTTGCGTGTCAAGAAAGAAAAAACGGAGACATCAGATGTCAAGTTTTCAGCACGGCTTCAGATGATTTATATATAGGCAAGAGCCATAATGAGAAAGTAATTATGGCTCTTGATATAGGCTAACAAGAACAAAGCCCTGATGCAGTAAGAAACAGTGAGAAATGGTAAATACATGATTAGCGATGACATCAAATGTCAGGTTGGAATGATCATGTCAGGGTAACATGCATTAGAATACAAAATGAAAACATTGAATTCAGTGGGTTTGCAGGGCTAGTTCGTATGTAACGTAGTGATTTTGTTGTGTAAGGCGAATAAATAAATGTCATTTTGAAAAACCTCATGTTGGTGTATGAAATTTATAACGTTCGAATTCCGGAATGGTTCACTGAAATTACGCAGCAAGGAAATGACCTACCGAAAACCCGTAACCCGAAATATCTCTTAAAGACAATATCGTAAGTGTATAGATTATTTAGAGCGTCACTTTTTAAGGCTTTCATGATCAAAGAGAAGGAAAGAAGGATTTATCAATCTTGCGAATGAGTAGTTTTTAAAAAATGTTTCTTAACTCAGTTTGGTAACAACGGTAATTATGAACGCAAACGTCTTCAACCAGCACAGTCAATTCTAAAAGCGCCACTGACCGCTCCTAAAGCTGACAATCATGAAGGCATCACCATGCTGGCCGATGAGACAGTCCGTAAAACAAGAAGATCGAAACGAAAGGCCATATGCTGAAAAGGAGAACTGATCTGAGCTCCATCACTACACGAAGCTTGTGACACCATGATCAGCTCATTAAAAAGGCGAGTATAACGTCATGCCTTAAAAAACAAGAGTAAAACTATAGTATTTGAACTTCCTTTCTCGACGTTTTATATCTTCTTTCCTTCACTCCAGAGTCCAGACTCCAGCCATAGAACCAAGATACAGTAACTCTCTCAAAATGTAAATACAAAAAATTCAGAGGTAAATTAAAAGAAATCGCTAGATGGAAGCTAGCCTGAGAAAACAGCCGACATTTCGCGACGCCTCCACTGTTTTCCACGCGCAATGACGTTATGATTGGCCGGGACGCTAGGGAAATTTTCGTCAGCCAATCAGAAGCACTACACAGATCTGGTTAATGACACGTCGTTAGTATCCTGCCCCTTTATCATATTCATTCCTCTTTTTTGCACTCGTCCCATCTGTCTCCGCGAACTTGCCTGCGCGGAAACCTTACAAGCTTGCAGTCTTGCTATGATTGAATTTGGCTTAGAGCCTTGAATAATCTGGATTTGGAGAGGAACTTCCGCAGCATAATTCCACTGTTGCCGACGATTTGTGACTAAAAAGAAAGGTTGATTTTGTAAACGGGCTATCTACCATAGTGTCCTTGAAAACATCAAAGCAAACCAGCTTCACAGCTTCACAGTAGCGTCATGAACGGTCATCCAAACTGGCGGGGAGGAGCCATCTCTATATTGTTTTCATGTTTTGGTATGTGACCGACCCAGCACTACCAGTCAGACGTCACATAGCAACGAGTCACAGCTTTGCTTTGCTTGGTTAGTTCAAAGTCGCCGGAAGACATCGAAGTCAAACAAAGAAATGGCTGATACGGCAGGCTTCTTACAAGCATTTGTGCCGGCCAATTTTTTGGCCAGCTTTGTTGTCTGTATTGGTTTCGTGTTATTGAAAACAGGACGTAAGCTGCTGTTAGAATAACACAAGCTTCGCATTAAGTAAGAAAGAACAATGAAATTTATCGAAACAGCCAGTATTGATTCAGCGTGTGGAGGGGTAGTCCGGGAATCCGGGGTTTGGCTGAATTAAAGCTAAGTGTGGAACTCGGGAAATGTCAACGGGATACGGGATTTGACTGCTACCTGAGTGGAATTCGCCTAAATTTGGGTACGGAACTGAGTGTGGAAAGAAAACGCTATTCGGAATAGCAGATGACAGAAGCTCGGGATGCGAGATTCTCGCGAAAAACGAGCGGGAATGCGGGATCACGCCTCCCTTTCCAGACGCTGTTAACTGTTCACGAAGCTTTACGAGGAAAAGGGACATGAGTACTCGCCTTAATAAGCTTGCGAGAGGTCCTATTGACCACACATGTTCGAGTTAAAAAAGAGATATAAGAAAGTTATCACATCAACCTGTCTCATTGCGACCACAGTTCCAACGCACCTGTTACCAATTGACTTCATGCATCTTAAACGAAGCTCAGCGGTGGGGGGCGGGGGATTGCAGGGGGGATATGAGCATAATCCAAATAAAGCATTGTCTTGTCTTGTCTTGTCTAGCAGTTGGTTGGGGTAGATC